CCCTTTACAGTATTCAAAAAATAATTGTGTACAAACTGAGATATATAAGAGATAAAATGCATTGAAATATTGTCTTGGCAGTGACTGAAGGATCTTGTTTAGATTCCATATATTAGAGGGCGGTGGTTGTCACACAGTTAGTGTTCGAATTTTGTGTAAACAATGAATTTTACATGCATTGTATACTACTGCTTATTTCGCTGTCTGGAAAATGCGCTAAATTAAAACCCAGTGAGTATGTAAAATTGAGCATAGAACACATTATCTAAATGAAAAAAACTGTGAATTTAAAACACACTGAATATGCCTGAAATGGTAAATCAGCAAAATTTAAAGCTAGTATGTCGCTATTGGTCTCGCATCGAACATGACACAGTGCAACGTTCACCGCTGTGTAACACATTGTATTACACATACAAATATATCATGTATAATTGTCTTTTCTAAATTAGTAATGTGTGATTAATACTTTTGATAGCTTTTTGGTGGATCAGACTTGCAAGCATTGTTGAGAGAAGATTTTGATCCAGAGATGCGTGATAAAAAGTAAGTAATGTGTGTAGCATTTTAGACTTGTGCTAAATTATAGATTATGTTGATAGTTAATTATTCTAATTCAAACTATAATTTAAACTGGTAACCATGCCCAAATTAACAATATCTTTGCATTGTAAATAGACCTCTCTAAACTCAAACTAAATTTTGTCAAAAATAATTTCAAACAACGCAAGCTATAAAATGATTATAACTCTTCTTTATTTTCAGCCATGCCAAGAAAGCTGTTTCTCTTTTGAGAGAAATGTTTAAAGAGACTGCTTACTTCAAAGGAGATGAATTAACTGAAATCTTACTGGTGAGTACATCGTCTCTGATTTTCTATTATATATTTTAATAATCAATATATTCAATGGTCAAATAATTTTACTTTTTATTTGTAGGACTTGTCACACTATAAATATGATAAGATGATTCAAGAGTCCATGTACTTATTAAACCGACGATACTCAGCATATTCAAATCTCTTCAATCGAGCTGTGCAGGCGCAGGTGAGATATTTGAACAAAGATTCAATTTATTCTGTACATTATATAAAACTTTTGAAAACATTGTGAATAATTAGCATTTCAGTATCGAAAGAGCTCTTGATATTGACATAGAACACTGGGAGGACTTGCAAACGACAGATCCAACTGGAGATGTACACTGTCCAGGCAACTAAAATCAGGTGAAACCAGACTGATGCGTATGCCAGAAGAAAAGCAAATCTTGCGAAAAGAACTCTGCAACAGACCTGAGTCAGTTTACAGATGTGTCGTATGTGGCAGGGACTGTCATTCTCATATAGGAATGTTTAGCCACAGTCGACGCTGTAGGGCTGATGTCAATTAGGATTTTACCATGGTCAATATTGACCAACGGAGGCCATAGAGAGTATTGAGTTTCAACTTATTTAATCACAATATTCAAATAAAAAACATTTGTGATGTTCATTTCATTTTATTCAATAGACTCATTTATCATTTAGTTAAAGGGCGGCAGTTGTCGTGCCGCGTCCTGTTCGATAAGGAACTCATAGCGCGTGACGACCACCACGTTTTAAGCTACAAAATGGTATATTTTTAATATCTCAATCATTAGTATTTGTTTTTAAACACCAACATTTTATAGATTACATGTACATATGCACAATTTTAGGAAATTCAGGAAATGCTACTAATTTGGCATATGCATGTCATTAATTTGATGTGTTAGTATTATTCTGTATACATAAGAAGGAGGAAAGTACATACTTGTCTGAGATTTTTTAATAATTGTTGCATAAATGGATGCATATTTTTTCGTTTTCAAGTACCTAAAATATTATTATTATTATTACTATTACTATTTTAAATCAGTGTTGTTGACAGAAGATCAGTCAGTGTTTTAAAGGAATGTGAGCAAAAGTT